TACAAAACTATATCTAAACTCTCTAACCTAATTTTTTTGAACCTTGAGGAGGGAGGAGGAGCTCCCTCTTTATAGAGGTTCAAATGCCAAGCTTCCAAGAGAAGCTAAGCAAGAGGCAAATCCCTCCATACACGAGTATGGAGGGGGTGTAATGTGGATGCCAGCTGTGATAGCTAGCATAAAATATGTGCCAAAAGCAGATGAAAAGGGGTCGGCTGGAAAATATGGCCAATTAACCAACAAAAATGGCCGGCCGACCAAAAACATTGCCGACAGACCAAAATCTTTTGCCGGTAGCAAGAAAACAAGGTCAGTGGCCTCAAGCCAAGGCCGGTGAGGTGTGGGGATGGCCAACAAGCCATTCCTTGCCCTCAGAAGCAAAAACACAAGTGTTTGGTACACAACCAGGCACAAAACAAACAAGTCGAGAGGTCTTGAGGCAAGGTGCGCGACCGAAACCTCCGAGAACTCCAGACGAACGCGAACATGGATGATCATCGAGTGTTCAAACGATGACGTCCAAGTCTTCAGGACGGTCAAAAATGGAGTGTCTACAGTTGCCCCTCTTTGATAGAACTCGAAAGTCATAACAATGACGAGAGTGAATGTCAAAGCCCAGAGACGACCCATTTTTGACAAGGCCGAAGACTTAGATAAAGCATACAAGCTAGCAAGATATGTGCCCGTAGGCCGAACATAACTTATGATCATGCAAAGAGAGCTGTAACGAAGCAAATACATACAATTAATGCAATAGTTTAAGCAGACGGATACAAATCTAACTACATTACACGCAGAAAGGATGTAAGAGAATTATTCAATTCTCACTACGTCTCACGCAACCCTGTGCGGTTCGTCTGGTCATGCCAGCTTCAAATGAACCGTACATACAATATCGTGCCTGAAAAAGAAAGAGAACTTAACAGGTACAATTTTGTTAGAAACATGCATAGCAATGCAAGTGAGAAGTGCGTAACAACGCAAGTGAAGTGTACATAACAATGCAAGTAACGTGCGATCATCGCCGAGCTTGAGCCACTGATCACCGATTTGGAGCCACCATTTACAAATCTGGAGCAACTGTTCATCGATTTGGATCCACCATTTGTTGATTCGTTGATCTCAACAAGGCAGCTGGTCATCGATTTGGATCCATCATTTGTTGATTTGCTAATCTCAACAAATTTCAGTGAGTAATTCTTTTTTTTTTTTTCCGTTGATGTTCGGTTTGAATTAAGGTGCTATTACGTGGTTTGATTTGCTATGAATCTTTGTTTTACATTGGTGTTGTTATAGTTATTGCTCTTTCTCTCTCTTCATCTTCATAGATCCATTATGAGTTTTTCACTCACATTGAAATCTTAGATTTGTTGATTGTGAGTTCATATTGTTACATTTGTATGTCTTTTCAGAACCAGTGTTAAATTGTGTTGTTTATCTGTGATACGATTAAATTGTGTTGTTTATCTGTGCCAATTAAGTAATCTATTTTGCTGACTATGTTGCTTGCTCGTTGGATGACAAAGTTGAATGCTATAATACATTGGTAACTGTCATTAGTGCTAAGTGTTCTTGGGGTTTGAAATGTTAAATCCTTTGTGTTCATACATGGAAATTGCTAATAGTTTTTTCATTTTCATGACAAAATCACTTGTGATTTTAATAATAATTGTTTTGGTGTGTGTATGTGTGTGCTATGTAGCTCATGTTTCCCCAGTGTTTTATTTTGCTTAAATTCTGTATGTGTCTTCTCTTCCTCCCATTTAGAGGTATCAAACAATTTTTAAAGAGAGTCCTAAAAAGAGAGTGAGTAAAAAATCGAGGGAGTTGACAGGAAGGGGGTGAGAATCTTATTACCAAAGTGAATGTTGTTATGAAAGTGGGCTTGATAACATTCTATTTAAGGTGAATTTCCTGTATTAGGTAATCGACAATCTAAAGGCCTGTTAAGGTGAAGTTTCTGGATTAACCTCAAAATTATGTGGTTTGATTTTGGAACCATATCCCTAGTTTAATCTCAAAATCCCTTTCAGCATACAAATCAATGTTTTGTGGTTTGATTTCAGAAATTAATTTCAGCATTTTCAAACCAAATGCAAGTTTCTGAGCTACTAGTTTTGTGGTTTCAATTTCGGAAATTAAGTTTAGCATTTTTTGAACCAAATGTAGATTTTCAGAGCTACAGATTTTTTGATTTTTATTTCAAAAATTAACTTCATCATTTTCGAACCAAATAAAAGTTTTCCATTTCGGTTTGTGGTTTCAATTTCGGAAATTAAGTTCAGCATTTTTCGAACCAAAAGTAGATTTTCTGAGCTACAGGTTTTGTGGTTTTTATTTCGAAAATTAACTTCATCATTTTTTAACCAAATCAAAGTTTCGCCCTTTCGGTTTTGTGGTTTTCATTTCGGAAATTAAGTTCAGCATTCTTTGTGCAAAATGCAGATTTTCTGAGCTATAGGTTTTTTGGTTTTTGTTTCGAAAATTAACTTCATCGTTTTTTAACCAAATCAAAGTTTCTCTTTTCGTTTTTACAATTTTAATTTCGATTCATCATCATTATTTTCGAACCAAATCTCCATTTTTTTTTAGCTTTATTTCTTCTTCTCTTTCCTATTGATGTAGTGAAACCTTCAATTTCTTGTGGCCGGTTCGAAAATTAAAGAATGTCCTTACTATCCACTGGAATGGAAAATTAAGGAATTAAAAAATATGGTTGCAATTAATGAGTTTTATAATTTTTGTCTTTCAAAGTTACTTTAAATAGAAGACTTGGGTAGTGCTATGAATCCAATGATATTGGCAGGCAAAAATTATATATATATATATATATATATATATTTGAACTCCTTGATTCAAATATATATATATATATATATATTGATGGCCATCATCTGCTATTTGTGATCAATGTGTTTTCTTGACTGCCAGGCTATGACTTGGATTTAGGTGGTAGGATCTGAAACAGGGCATTTTGATATCCTTTCATCTCATCACTAAAGAGGGCCTGCAGCTCTATTGTGTCTTTTAGAAATTACACTGATCACCATTTTATGTGATTTAATGCTTCTTACCCTGGAAACGTTTTCAGTAGATTCTTACTTGACTGCATTTTTAAAAGTGAGAAATATAAAGTAGGATCCACAGGGATGAACTGCCATACAAAAATAGCTGATAATTGGAACAAGAACTGCAGTCAACCTAGGTGTACCTTTCACTTGTTGTGAACTTATGATAATTATAATGCTTTGCACATTTGGAGGAAAAATTTTCTTGTTATTACTACTATACACCAAGTTATGCTTGCATAAGTCATCATGGGGTTTTCTCCCCCTCAACTTCTCTATTCAATATCTATTTTCTGTGTGAATATATTTGTTCTTTGTTATACATTTGTGCATAGGATGTCTATGTTGGAATATGGAAATAATTTAGGATCTCATAAATTCTGTATTATGGGATATTAGGCTAGTTTTTAGTGATTATTATTTTACCTTCCAAAATTGTAATCTCTTCAATTCAGTAGATATGTATACGAGGCTAGTCATGGATTATGATTGAGCCATTCTTTAGCCTCTTTTGTCTAAGTAGAGATGCAACTTATTGTTTCATTGAACCAGATGGTACAATTAGGGATGATGTACTTGAAAGGGTGTGGCACCAATTGTCAAAAGGCTTCCCACTAAGGAGATGCCTTATACCAGAAACTTACATATTCAGATGATTGAACCCAATTTCAGAGCTCCTGATACTTGATGTCCAAAAATACTTCATTTAGTTGATCTTCAGAAATAATCACCTCGGTCTATACTGGACAAGCAACTCCAGGTGTTGAATGAATCTTCCAGCATTATGTCATTAGTCACATCCTTGTACTGTCAGTAGAATGTCTACTACATCATGATTTCTTATTTGGTATGGTGCATCATGATGAGTTGTAACTTGCAATATTGTTTGGCATTATCGGATTTCTCATGATAACTTTTATTTAACTAGAAGCCTGATGCATTGTTCTTGGTTTGTATTCCAGTTTATTATTCCAATATCAAATGATTCTCTTTCTTCTCTTTTATTTATTTATTTATTTGAGTGTCTAGTATGGTATGAATGTAACTATTCATGGTAAGTTTTTTTTTTTTTTTTTTTTTTTTGTAGACAGTTTAAACAACCCAGTTTAAGAATATATTTATAGAGAATGTTATGCTGATATGTTCTACATTATTATTATTTTTTTTGGAATTATGAAGTTTTCTTGTACTCTAATATATTGATGTGCATTACTATTTGCATAGATGGAGTACAATTTCAATGGTTTTGGAGATGAGAGTAATGAGAAGCTTGAGCTATACGTAGTGTTGCAAGTTGTAATGCAAGAATTGTACACCTTATGCGTTGTAGCATATATTGCCATTGAAATTGTCTTGAAGAGGTACATTCATAAGTATCCTCATACCGTTATTCGAGGGCCCAATCAATTGCAAGAACAAATGGACCACATTAATCGGCTAGTGAGAGAAAGCGACATTACATGCATTGAACAACTTCGTATGGATAGGCGTTGTTTTATGACGTTATGCCATATGGTTCGTACAATAGGCGGGTTGGGGCATTCAAAACATGTTACCTTAGAAGAGAAGATGGCCTTGTTCCTCTACGTCTTGGCTCATGACCTGAAAGTATGAAAACTTAAGTTCAATTTCTTTAGGTCCGGAGAGACTGTAAGTCGACATTTCAATGATGTCCTAAAAGCTGTGTTACGCCTTCAAGGCCACTTACTTAGGACACCAAATCCTATAACACAAGCATGTACTGATCCAAGGTGGAATTGCTTCCAGGTAAATGTAGTTTGTAAAACATTTAATAAAATACATTACACATTTTTTTTTACAACTCATAATTATTACAATGCCTTCTATGTATTAGAATTGTCTTGGAGCACTTGATGGAACCTATATTAAAGTTCGTGTACCAGTGGTTTACCAACGCGGAAGGGGAAGATTGCTACCAATGTTCTAGGAGTTTGCTCTCAGGACATGAACTTCATATATGTGTTACTAGGGTGGGAAGGGTCAGCTACAGACTCTAGGGTTTTGAGGGATGCGATTAATCGACCCAATGGCTTAAGAATTCCAACTGGTAATTAATAAATAATTAACTTTGCTTGATGGAATTACTAAGTTTTATTTAATAATAGATTCTAATATATAACATCTGATACAGGGTACTACTACCTAGTAGATGTCGGGTATACAAATGGACAAGGATTCCTAGCACCTTATCGGGGCCAACGATACCATTTGTCTGTTTGGAGAGCAGGGGCCACTCCAACTAATTATCAAGAATTTTTTAATATGAAACATGCATCAGCCCGAAATGTCATAGAAAGGTGTTTTGGTTTGTTGAAAATAAGATGGGCAATACTTCATTGTGCATCATACTACCCCATTAGAACTCAAAACCATATCATCACAGCATGTTGTTTGTTACACAACCTCATTCGTCGAGAGATGCCAGTTGACCCAATAGAAGAGAGGCTAAATAATGACATAGAAGATCGACCTCAATTGGGAGATGATTTTGTTGACACCGTTGAGACATCTAATGAGTGGACTGGGTGGCGGGATACACTTGCAATGCAACTATATAACAATTGGTTGGCTAGTAGGGAGGCATGACAAGGATAGTTTCAATATTTGTAAAAGTACTTGTTACAAGTATGATATAGTTTCATTTGATTTGTACTTGGAACTTGTATTAGCTTGTGGATGTTGAACCTTGTTTTGCAAAAATTGTATGGTTTTTGTTGGTGATTGCATATTTTTTAAGCGACAATATTTTTTTGTCTCATGGATTTGTTACATGCATGTATGGGTGTGAAATTTTTTGATTATTGAAATCCATAATCCATTTATGTATTGACTTGTTTTGGCACATTAACAGGTTGATAATCATATAATGGAGACTGACATGCACACTTTTCTTTGTTCTTCTTTGCTAGGCATGGATAGTGAAGTGTCTAGTTCTCATAAAAAAGTAAAGGAGAAAGTTGATCTGTCAAAACCAAGGCGATTGTGGAGCCCACGAGAAGAGCAATGTCTTATTAATGCCTTGATGCACATTGTCAACAATGGAATGAAACAGGACAATGCCTTCAAGGCCGGCTACCTTATGAAGTTAGAGGAGAAATTGTTGGAGATGCTACCCGGGACAAACCTTCACGGCACTCCCCACATTGAATCAAAGATAAAGATATGGAAGAAGCACTATAACTGTGTAGCAAGAATGCTTGGTACTAGTGGTTTTGGATGGAATGACACAGAGAAAAGAATTGATGTTGAGAGTGATAGTGTCTGGGAAGCATATGTTCGGGTAAAATACTTTCTTTTAAGTTACTTTGTATAAGTTATTAATTTTTTAATTCATTTTTCTTTAATCTTAAGTTGGAGCTATTAATTGAAATTGGTTATTGTAGAGGGAGAGCGATGCGAAAAACTTACGAAACAAAAGTTTTTCGTATTTCAACTCATGGATCCACATATTTGGTAAGGATCGAGCTACGAGGGAGTTTGCTGAAGGGCCTGCTGATGCAGTTGATGCTATAAATGCTGAGGAAGAATTGTTGTTCAATAGTCTTGCAGATGATGGCACGTTTCTTGAACATATGGGTATTAGTATTCATATCGGTGAGGGAATAAATTGCTCCAGCTCATCAAGTCAACGACCACCTGAAAGTTCTACAAAAAAGAATGACAACAAGAAGAGGCCTAGAGGCAATGATGATGTAGTGGAAGGGTTGTCTATGATTGCTAACAAGTTGGGTGAGGTATTTTCTGCCACCAATGAAAAGTTGGATTTCATTGGTCGCAGAATGGGTTATGAACATGATCTCGCATCTAAACGGGCAAGTTTGAATGATGAACTCATTAAGTTGCCAATTACTCTTGATGAAAGGCTAGATGCTTGTGAGATCATATCACAAAGTGCTCAAAAGCTCGACATGTTCTTCAGCTTGACACATGATGACAAACTAAGGTGGGTGATGAGGTTGCTACGTAGGAGTGCTCCATGATAGACTCGTGGCTCTTTTATGTCCTTCTACGTACTTAGTTTTTTGATTACTCTAATGCATGTAATAAGGACTTGACTTTTTGCTACTTTTTTTTGTTGAACTACTCATATTTTGCTACTTTATGTTGCAATATGCTACTTGGAATGCTTATTTTGAAATGATGAATGGTAGATTTATATTTCTACAATTTCATAGTTGAATGATTTTTGATATTTTTTTGTTCAAAAAAAAAGAGAGTTAAATTTTGTTTAAATAAATGCCTTTTTGAATTTGGGCAGTGAATGGTTGGATGATTAAAATAACAGGACATATTTTTTAATGATTGCTTGTATATATAAATTTTATAGTTGAATGATTTTTGATTTTTTTCTATTAAAAAATAAGTGGGGGTTAAATTTTGTTCAAATAAATACTTTTTTGAATTTGGGCAATGAATGATTAGATAATTAAAATATGTATTTTTTAAAATGGTTGCTTATGTAAATATAAATTCTATAGTTGAATTATTTTTTATTTTTTCTATTAAAAAAAGTGGGTTAAATTTTGTTCAAATGAATCAAAATGGATGTGGAGCAACAATATGAAAATTTTCTTTTTAAAAATTATAACTCATTTTAGTGCAAAATTTTACATTAATTATAAAAGGGGTATTATGGTCAATTTATTGGAAGTTCTATATCTTGTCATGTCCAATTCATTCAAATCCCCTTAAACAAACATCAGATTGGATAATATTTTATTAATCCCTTCTTATAATCCTAACTCAATCCAAACATAGGATAGGATACACAATCCAAAGGATTCCCAGTCCTAGGACTATTAGTCATAGGAACGCTAATCCAACCTAATCTAATCCGCCCAAACAAACATGGCCTTAAGGTTCAACCAACTTGACCATAGTTGTTGTTTTTAGTTTGCTTACATTATATCAAATCAATTTCTATGATTTAGTTGTAATTCAGTTACATAGTTACATAGGTTCAATAATTTATTTAAGAGAGATTCTAATTTTTTTATGGGAAAAAGAAAAAAATCGTTCAACAGTTACTCTACTAAATCATTTCTAACCTAAACTCAAATCTTTTATCAAATTTAAATTTGATGAAAATTTGTTAAAAACGGTATTCCAACTATTTCACCAATTTAATATCAAATGAAGAGAACTCTATTTTTTCCATCAAATCAAGGGAGCATTTAACTTTTTATCAAATCTCATAGGTAACCATTGGTAGACGACCAAATGGATGATTGGCCGGTCAACAGGGTAAACAACTGGATTGGAAAAAATTTGAAGAAAATTTACACTAGGCCAAACGACCATCCGAGCATCCTCCCGATCGATCGATTGTTTGATAAAAATTAAAAAACTAGCGTTGGAACATTTAATATTAGATGAAACTTTAAACTCAAATTTTGACTCATATTTAATGAAAGGGATGTGATTGAGACCCCTCCAATTACCACCCCACATATACGTAACGGTGGTGATTGGAAGAGAATGAAAAAAAAAAAAAAAAAAAAAAAAAAAAAATTGATCAATTAAAAAGATAGGGGTCAAAGGATAAGCGTTTGAGATGGTCCAATATTGCCTGAGGAAACGAATTGATTTAAAAATAAAAATAATAATAATAATAATAATAAAATCAATTGCACTGCTCATAGCAAACGACGTCGTAGTATTTGGCAAGTCTAGGTAATCGTTAACGATGCGTCGCTCTCTCACGTCCAGTCACTGCAGCCGACGAGCCGGCGATCAACATCTCTACGTTCTTAATTCTTTGCGTTCCTAATTCCAACATTACCAGCGGATCACAGGTCTGTCAAAGCATTCTTTACCACTGAAAATTGTACATTTATGTATGTATATGTATATATATGCTTATATCTTACGAGGCAAGTGAATGAATTGAATGTTCATGGGAACTCCAAAAAAAAAAAAAAATTAGAAAATGGGTTTGAAAATTGAGTTGTTATTCTTCTCTTTTCTGTCTTTACTTATAAGAATTACAGCAACTTGTGTTGCTTTCAAGCTGTTCGATAAAATTCCTCACAGAACTTGATTACCCATTGACCTTGAGTTCAATTCCTAGATGAGAAGGCTCATATGAAACCCACTACTGAGCACCCATTTGGCCTTTTAATCTGTTCTGTAATGGGTTTGAGTTGTTATTGTTCTGTTCTCTGTCTTTGTCTAAGAATATTGAGAACAACTCGTATTGCTTTCAAGATGTTTGATAAAATTCCCCACAAAACTTGATTACCCATTGACTGTGAGCCCAATTCCTATCTGAGAATGCTCATATGAACCTCACTACTTTGCACCCACTTGGCCTTCTGATCTGTTCAGTAATGGGTTTGCTTTGCAAGACTCACATTGTTCTTATACATATTGTTTGCAGATAATATATGATGCAGCGTTTATCAACAAGAGTCTCTTCAAGGATGGTGTTGTCCTCCATGGCAACTCTGTTTGGCAATGCTTGGTGTTCTTCTTTCCTCCCAAAACAGTCTTTCAGTACCTCGTCACTGCGAGGAGGGCTCCAGAAATTGCAAAAACAATCTATTCCAGGTGATTCATTGAAGTGGGGTTCGCTCGGTTTCTGTCGAACATCGAAATTTGCTACTGGTTTCACACCATTGCAACTTAAGCCGTTGGATTCGATTATTGACATTGAGAGGGCAAAGACTCAATCAGCTGAGGATCTTGCTTCCATTTGGGATGATGTAATTTATCGTAACTTATGCTTGTGATCCTCATTCCACTTGAAGCTCTTAAATCTAGTGTTACTTATGATTTGCACAACACTAGTGCTATAGTGACCAAATTTGGGTATCAAGTTCTGGATGCCATCTATGTGTCATTGACGCATTTAATGGGCCTCTTTTTTCTTATCTTATATCATTGCATTGTTGACACATCATATGGTATTTAAAACTCGAACTTTGTCACCGTATTACTGTTTGCAAAATTGGTTTTCCCAGTGCATGCATTGGGTAGATTTCATTCGCTTTCAATATCAAGTTCCCCTCCTGTCTAAAGTCAAATGTTGAAATTCTTTCGGGAAATGAATGATTAAAAGTTGTAGTTATCATTTTTACTGCTTTTGTTGGAAACATGGAATGTTAATACAGTAATACTTCTTGTTGTTGTTGACAATAGAAATGAGAAGATGCTTGTGATCTTGAGGTGCCAATTTCACTCGATGAAGTGTTGTCAAAAGTTGTTAACTAACAGAGAGAGAAGAAACTGTTGGTTTCTTTCTTTTTAACTTTGAAAAGAAAGGGAATTGGTGAAGCAAAATTGCCACTAGGAAACATGCTGCTGTATTTTCTTGATATACTGGTGTTACTTTGATCACACCTACTATGAGTTCTTTCTTTAACCATATTGAAATTTTTTTTCCCTGCTTAATCTATAGCGAAAAAGAAAAAAATCCTTCCCCTTATGATGACAGGAATTTGGTTGACAAAAAGAAGCAAAAAAAAGAAAAAGAAAAAAGAATGAGCTGAAAAGCGAAAACTCACTCATAATTCTTCATCATTACCTTGAACATACCAGTGAAGTCCAGCTTCCTAAAAAATTTTAGGTTTTGTGCTGCTTGATCTTAGACATTAATTTTTTGTAACTTCCTAACGTAATTATTACAATTTTTTCCTGTACATTTTGCCTACTTTCATTAACACTATTGTAGGATCTTTCATTAGACATGGTTTTTGAACCGGCCTTTCAAATTTGCAGGCCGAACTGGAAGCATATTTTGTAAGTCAGCCAAATCCCCATGAATATCCAACTGAATCCTTAAAATAACTTCTGAATGTTGTTTCTCAGTATCATTTGAAAAGGATTTTTCTGAAATTTTGCTTGGACTATGACTTCGTATCAGATTATTTATAGCTGCTCTACTTTTCATCATCGCACATTCATGGTATTTTTGTCATTGTCAGTGGATCAAATTTGTGCCTTGATTGTTTTCATTCATTTACTTATTCATTCTTTTGGGTGGGATTTGTTATGTCAGTATCACTTGGGAAGAGGTCACATTGGTACTTCCATGAAAGCAAAATTGTATCATTTGTTGGAGCACAGAGCGGCAACTTGGTATGTCCCATTACTTGGCCTTTTTTTTGTAGATAAGTCTTCTTTCCTCCTTTTTTATTGTTCTAACTTAAACTCTTCTTGTAGCCGGTACTTCGTCATTCCTTTGTGGAGAGGAAGTGGTTATACAACAATGTTTGCTCAAGGTTTGGTCCCTAATGGTTTTTTTCAAACATCCTGTAATTGTTGGAGCTTGCCTACATAATATTGATTTATTTTGTTTGGAAACTTTCCCACCTTTTTCTTATTTAAAACATGTTGAATACTTATATTTATTACATGTTTGACATCACTCATGCTTGTCACAAATCCCTACCCAAATTCTAAATCCAAACATAGCCATAGGGTATGCAAAGGAGCAACCAAGCACACCGCTCGGCCAGCATGCCTTCACTCGATCACTCTCACTTGGTAGCAGCATAGTCCGTCCCTTGGCCTGCCTATATTTTCCTTATTCACTCACTCAGCTGGGATTATTCACTACCTAAGCTAGGAGCAAAGCCTAGATATCCGCTGCTCAGGATTGTTACAGAATTGTAGATTGGAAAGCTAGGATCAATGGCTCATCAAGGCTGCTTGGTTAGCTCCTCTTTGGGGAGCGGCTCCTCCTTGACCAGTTGGAGAGAGAGGGATGTTGACCCAACACTTGACACCTCAAAAGAGGTATCATACTTACCACGTATGTCATGCTATGATACACCTTCTGAAGTATCATACATAACTCTGCAGCTCCCATGATACAACCTTCGATGTTTGAATCATGGGACTTTAATGGCATGCCTGATGCTTTCAGTCTGTCAAGCCAAAGAGAGTTGGCCACTTGTCCATGGGTGAGCTGGCCTCTACTGGTCTTGGAGCCTATACAAGGGAGTATCCATGCACGTAGAACAACACAACTCTGGTTATCACCTTCCTCCAGTCCGGTGACTAGGGTCTCTCATTGTCACCCTCTCTCTCTCTAAGGCTGTCTTGGTTCTATCTTTCTCGGCCTAACCTGATCCTTAGCCATTGAAGTGCCCACCATCTTTCCGAAAATCCACAATTGACCATCTGACTACCAAACACCTGCATCTTTCAAGAGAGTAAATATTCTCTCTTTCAATTTTTTTTTTTTTTAAAAAAAATCCTTTTTGGGAACTTGGGTGTGGGATTTTTTTTTTATTTTTTCCATTAAAAGACAAACTTTTTGCAAAACCAAAAGAAACACATCCAAACAAAATATCACATCCAACCCCATAATCATTTCACTTTTTCTCTCACAAACATCACATCCAACCACAAAAAAACCCAACTATCTTTCCAAATACCAAAAAAATTTTATCTAATAATATTCTACAACTAAAAAAACTTACATAAAAATCCATTTCCCAAACACCCACAATGTATAATCTTTGTTTTCTTTAATATTTACTCATGCCTTGTGCAGTACAGATGCCACACATGCTTTTCACCGGTCTTGAAGATTACAAAGCAAGAGGAACCCAAGCTGCTCCCTATTTCACTGTTTCTTACCACACAGAATTTGCAGAAAGCCATGACTTGGTGCTTGCTAGGGGTGACATTGTGTTCACGAGCAAGCTCAGTGACATAGAGGCAAAATGGCTATTGGAGACTATGCAATCTTTCTACTTGAATGATGTTAGGTACAAGCTGGTAGAACGGTTCAACAGAGAGGCACGCGAATTTGAGTTTGAGGACGTTTTACGAATGTTGGATATGCCCATCTTGTAGTTTTTCCAAGTATTGAAACTTTTGGCTTTGTCTGCAGCACTACAATTGCAGCAGAGGCAGTCTGCATGGGAGTTTCATCCTTTAATCTTTCAAATAGACAAGTGAAGACTGATTTTTTTTAAGAAACTTTTGGTCCAGAATTTTTTTTCCCCCTGAAACTTGGTTCAAGAAGATGTAATGTTTGAAACTTTGGTTATGATACATCAAATGGACAACTTTCTCTACCAAAGGCAATGAATTCTCAATGATTATGAGAATTGCTTTTTTTATTTTTCAATCGGCAGTTCTACAAATCCAGAAACAAAACAGAAAATTATTCATAATTTATAGTCTAGGGTCAAGATTTGATCATAGTTGGGTCCCACAACAACAAAATCAAATTTTCACCCTACATTTGAATTTCTGAATAAGTTTCTGGTTTTTTTTTTTTCCGTAGACTTTCTGTTTATTTATTTATTTTTTAAAAATTTTGCCAAACAAGCCACTCTTGCCTGCAATGATGTGTAGTAGATGCACTGAAAGAATAAGAAGTAATAAAAAAGGCACCTGTAGATAAAGGATCCATCAAACCATATTTTTGCTATGTATTGAAGTGACAAAAGAAAAGCTGTTCTTGACAAATTAGGGGCCTGTTAGCTCTCGTTTTCATTTTTGTTTTTTGTGATTTTAGAAACAAAAAACAAAAAACAATGAACAATCCGAAGACATTCATATTTTTTCTTTTTCAAGCTATAGCTTTTGAAAACTTGAATTAATTTTGTTTGTGTTTCCTAAAAAATGATTTTTTTTTTCCAAAAAATAAAAATAAATTCAAAAATAGTTCATGAAACAAATTATTGGAATAATAAAAACAAGATCCCTAACAAAAGGGCTATTTCAGACTTTCAGCATGTGTGCACTATAATGAAAACTGGAAAATTCTACAGGCCCAACATGTGTTTGGCGGCCCAGATTAGGAAACATCCAAACTTGAAAAGTATACATTTGATTTTAACGTTAAATTTATTAAAAAATTAAATTCACATAGACTAAATTCAATAATTCTACACTTGACTGGACAAAAGAATATCCCACCATTAATGTATATCTCAAACTAGTAATTAAACCATGCAATGTAAGTATTAATTTTTTAAAAAAAAAATTGATGGTATAAAATTAAAATTAAAATATGATTTTAATTATTTATTTTAATAATATTTATTCTATCATTCTATAAAATTGTTACTTGAATACTTTAACTTATATATATATATATAATTATTTATGTTTTTTTGATAATTTTAGTTTTATCATATTATAAAAATGTAATTATCATATAATAATTTTGTATGATATATATTAAATTATACAATCATAAAATAAATACTAATTTTGATATTAAAAATAATAGTTAAATTAGAAGAAGAATTAGTAACTTAAAATTAAAAGTAATTTTAACTATATAATTTTCTTTTATATTCATTTGAAAAATAAAAATGTGTAAAAATAGAAATTATGTAAAATTTATTTGAAAGAATTAAAAATGATTTTATATAATATATATATATATATATATTAAATTATAAAATTGTAAAATGAACACTCTTAATTAAATTAAAATATCAACTATATAAAAGAAATTTAATAACGACTAACTAAGAAAGAATCAAATAACAAAATCTAAACTTAAAAAGAAAAAATAATGAAAACATCCAAACAATAGATACATCTCAGTGATTAATCATTTGTAATATGACATCAAAACATAAAATAACTTATTATTCAACAATTCAAAAAGTAACTTAAGTAGTAAATCAAAATTTTAGAAGTTCTTCAAGAGCATCATTGTTGTGTAAGTTTTTTCTCTTGTAAGATGTGATTATATGAAATCTATGCTAAACTACCAATACTAATAGGTCTTAATAGTTTGATTTAATTCTCATCAAGTCCTATTGAAAATAAGTCTTGGTAAAATCATCGTTAAAAATATTTTTTTTGGACGATTTTTTACATACATCGCTAAAAATTGACAATTAGTGACTTTTTTTCTTTATGATTTTTATAAATTGTCGCTAAAACTTACAATTGGTGACTTTTTTTTATGACAAATTTTTTCCATAAGACCTATTAGACAATAAGTCCACTTATTAGGATCTACACATAAGTTCTCCTAAAATCTATATTATTATTAAGTAAAGGCCTAAATTGATTTAGTGAAACTTTCTTCGTTTCATGCTACGTGACAACTTTAAATATGTTAAAATAAAAAATTTATTATACACAGCGTAAGTAAGTTTTAAACCAAAGACCTTAGATTTCATTAATAACATACTCATGACTTTAGTAACATGCATATGATAATATTAAATTTTTTATTATTTGTTTTTATTATTAGTTATCTGAATTGCACATGCATCACATATATCACCTGCTAGTAATATATGAAATGACTTATAATTTTATATATAGAATCACTATAAAATTTAAGCGACAAATCCATAATATAAAATAATATATAATTTGTATTGGGTATAGAATAATATATGAAAAAATAAAAAGAAAACAAAATGACAATTTAGCATTTGAGAGGGTTATTTATATATAAAAATTAGGTCGAGCTGAGTAATGGGTCGTTCATTGGGCCATGGTAAGAAGGGCTGGATAAACAGGGGCTTGGAGTTAGCCCGGTCCTGAGAATGCCTTATTGTTATCCCGGTCCAGAGGAGCCTTGCAGTTAGCCCAGTCCGAAAGAGCTTGGTAGTTAGCTCGGTCACCACGATCGGTGCAGTAACAGTTAGCCCGGTCATACTATATTGAGCCAAAGTATGTTAAGCCTTCCTTAGAACCATGCTATGGGTTAGTTCGGTCCTAGCTCAGTGTGGTTAGCATGATCTCAACAGCCTGGTTGGAGTATGTCGAACCGAGGTACACGCAGCGAAAGGAAGAACCGAGTTAGATGGAGCTCGGTCTAGTCTGCGGCTTTAGCATGGCCACGTTATCCCGGTCGTATTCACATCCGACCTAGGTAAAACCATCTCACTTGGTTTAAGCAGTGAGGGGGGTGTTGAAGGATAAACATTATCTTTCAGGAATGTGATTCCTAGGAGGACTCTACATGGAGGAGTAAGAGTCCTACTAGGATTGTGCCACGTGGAATCTATAAAAAGCTCATAACATCACCTATAGAGAGGTAACACAACTTTGATTCCCGAATTCACAGAGCTTTTTGTCTATTTGTCTATTTTGCTGACATAGGCATCGGAGAGGTATTCGGCACACACCCGCCGGCTAGCTCACGTTTGTGCTTTTAGGGAGTAAAGCGACGACGTATGGAGGAGCGCAATCTTAATCAACAGGATTATACGAGAAGGTTTATTTCTTTCCCGTACAATTGGCGCCGTCTATGGGAATATCAGACAAAGAACAAAACCTCTTGGTCAAGTTTATCTCGCTAGTTGAATGGCGCACAACGAAGATTTGCCGCAGTCCGCCATTGATGGACAAACCCCAAAGGGGGGTGGGAGGCGCGAGGGATTGCACTCTATCCCTCCCATGGCGGACTTAGAGCCCCAGCGACAGAATTCCCTGAGGGAAACAAGGGGAAGACGAAACAACAGCCCCCGTCGCTCTCGCTCACAAAGTCCTAAAAGGCAAAGGCGAAGAATCGACCCTCAAGCTTTGGAGAATCGCGTAAAAGAGCAAGATGAACTAATAAGGAAGATGGCGGCGGACATGGAGGCCATGAAGCGCCAGATCAAGGAAAAAATGGTGACGACAGGAGAAGGGCGCAAAGGCAATACGCCTCCTCGCCACTCAGAAGATCGTGATGGGCATACCACGCCATCGCAAGCAGAGAGCAGAAGCCTCAGGACAGGCGACACCCAATCAAGGACTTCCAGAACTCGTTACTCCAGGTCTGAGAGAACGAGATCATTGAGGTCTTACACTGAGGGAAGTACCTATCGGGCCTCACATACGCACCAGACATCATCCAGGCAAACGGAGTTGCCTAGATCGTCCGAATTACGGACTGTGCTTGAGGAAAGGGCGCAACAGAAGGAGGATGCCAGGGCACACGACCCACACAGAGTTTCAGGCCTTCAGCGGTTGACTCCTCGGACGCATGGAAGCGTCGAGGTTGGAATGCCAATACCGCACCTTGCCTACGAACCAACAGATAAAGTGTTGGCAAGACTACATAGCTCGCCGTTCGTTCCGGCGATTGAGAACGCACCATTACCCTCAGACTTCATCCAGCCTAAATTTACCACGTACGAAGGGAAGACAGACCCTTACATGCACCTAAGCCACTTTCGCCAGGTCATGGCAGTATAAACGGCAGAAGACGGCTTTGATGTGCATCCTATTCCTATCTTGCTTGGCGACCTAGGTTTAACTTGGTTCGAAAAGCTACCAGAAAGCAGCATAGCCCTGGGCAAATTAGCGGAGGCGTTCGTGACGAGATTCAGAACGAACACCAAGATGCCAGTGGAGATTGATCAGCTACTCTCCATCAACATGGGCGACAAAGAAACATTAAGGTCCTACAACAGTCGCTACTAGGAGACATTAACAGAGTAGGGGACTGCCCACTAATCTCGCATCGCACAGTACAAAAGAGGACTTCCAGTCGGAAACAGATTGAGGGATTCGATTACAATGACTCCACCCTCACGATGGAAGCCTTGATGGAAAGAGTGCACAATATATTCGGGTGGAGGAGGATGGCGCCCGTGCCAAGGCAAAATCTAGTGCGACAACACCAGAAAAGAAGACTAGGCAAAGGTCAATACAGTAGAAGTCAAAGTAAGAATGGACGAGGCAGGCGAAATAACGAAGAGGACCGAGATAAAAGATGGTTGAGAGTCCGCACTGCATCACCCCACGGTGTTCAAGAAACCGATATATCAGATTCTGAGCGAAATAAGAGATGAGCCTTTCGTCAAGTGGCCAGCCAAACTAGGGGAAGTGCAGAAGGACTACGACGAAAGATCACGGTGCACCTTCCATAAAGAAAAGAGGCACCGCACTGAAAATTGTACACCATTGAGACAGCATCTAGAGGAGTTGGTGGCAGCCGGTCACCTGGACAAATACATTGAAGGAGGGCCGCAGCCAGCCCCCCAGAATGACAACCACCCGAACGGAATACCAATCGACGCCCCACCTCAAGGCATGATAAACGTAATACATGGGGTATGCGAACTTGAGCGCGTATGTGAGCTCAGGGGCATGATCAAAAATGCTGAGCACTTAAGGGAGGTTCT